CAGCGAGTGAGTCTCCGGCTTTATTTATACAACCTTTTCTTCACGACTCTACTTCATCCGAGTTGAGGGCTGGGGCCGGAGGCAGCCTCCCCGCATGATAAGGATGACCAACGGGGCTCTTGTACTGACTGGCTTGTGCATCCTTGGATGGGCCATTGGCACAGACACTTCTGTATGGAGCACCCACCAGGTGTGCGATGTGATTTTCGGAAACCTCCATAGACGAACAAGACCTGCAGCAGCTCAGAAGGACTGGAAGGGTGAAGGCTTTGAGATGAGCCCCGGGACGCTGGGCCTGGGCCCTCGCTTTGGACCTCCTGCTCTGAGTGGTGGACACCAGTCTGGAAAGCGAGGATGCCTTTCCAACTGAGGGGTAAGAAGGGGTTCCTCCTAACTCAGGCATCTTCTTGGGTAAGGGCAGAGGGACTTTCTGGGACCATATTCTTGAATGCTCCACCCAGGATGTCTGAGGAAGCCTATGGAGAAAGATTGAGGCACAAAGATGGTGGGAGAAAGGTCTTTTCCCAGTATCATGGAGTTAGTTGCAGAAGGTTAAAGTTGGATGTGGAGGAAGTCCAGCTTCCCCTGCAGAGGGAAGTTGAGTCAGCAAATGTGGGCGGGGTCCAGGAGCTGCTGACCCTTCAGGGTGATGTCAGGGAATTCGGTGGGGGGAGCCAGGGGCTGGGAACAGAGAGGGTAGCCCGGCGGAGGTGGGGGGTGTCCAGACAGCACCTTCTGCCCAGAATAGCAGCTTCTGGTGTTGGTCCTCTGTTTGCCAGTGGCATGAAAATGCTGTCCGACTTGTCCCCTGGGGCCTCTTCCTGGCAAAAGCCTGTCTCCTGGCAAGATGGGAAGTGATGTCACACTGCACACAGGAGCCTGCTCTTCTGGGCCTGTTCACGGTTGTCAGCCAGTTCAGAGACTGATACCTTTCACTGTCCCGGACCCTGGACTTCCCCCGGGCAGAGCCTCAGTGCTGGTGGCTGCTTCCTCCCATTGCTCACTCGAGTGTCTCCACCTTGGAGGCTGTCCTTGGAGCCTGCATTGCCCTGGGAGGGGGAGGGAGGAGGCAGAGGGGGAAGAGAAGGAGATGGCAGGGGTCGTGGGGCCTGCAGACCCTGCTTCCTGCTGATGTCATCATTTGGGGGGCCTGCCCAGGCCTGTGGCTGCCCCAGAACTGACACCAGGAGCCCTCCTGCTCAGCCTGGGATAGGCGCAGCGCTGCGGCTGCCAGTCTTCCTGCCAAGGACATAGGGACAGGCGACTCTCCGGGGGACCGCCTGCACCCTCCGGGCAGAGCCAACCAGCCGGCTGAGTCCTTGGGGCTCCTCCAGGTACTAAAGTGCAAGGAAAAGGTGGGGACCATGAGAATAAATGGTGGGCCTGGATTTCAGCTAGAAATGGGCCAGTGGGGGTGCTCACCTGGTAATGTGGCTGCACTCAGAAGATAGGGAGTACCAGGAGGCAGGTGGGGGATGTGGGAAAAGACCCCAAGATGCTGCTGGGATCCTGGGGCCCCAGGACCAGATCCTGACCTATGGTGCTTCTCCACTGACTGTTTTTGCTTTTCACCCAGTGCAGAGTCACCAGTTCCCCTGCTGTGTTCATTTGGTGCAGATCTGATTAAGGATCAGAACCTGTCCTCCCTCTTCTGCATGTAAACTTTAGCTCCACAAATGAAGGATGCTTCAAAATCATCTGATGTAAGCCCTGAGCTCAGAGATGAGGACAGTGAGGCCTAGAGATTAACCAGTTTGCCCAAGGAGACAGGAAGCTCGGGGCAGACCTGGGAGTCTCCAGGATATGTTTCACCCTGCCTGTGGGACAAGGATGAAGTGATCAGTGCTGGACTCATCGGTGGCCTTGACTCAGGTGACCCACCCCAACTAGGACAAGGTAAGGAAATTGGGGACCAGGAGGTGACACAGACCTGAGGTCCAAAAGACCATGGGGCAGAACTTACTGGACATGGGGCAGTGCTGTTCTGGGAACTGAATGCCGCCTTTGAGCAGGTTTGCAGCACCTCTGGTTTACGATTCGCACTGGGTGAAGTGTCAGGGGGAGAAAACATGGGGCTTGTTTTGCCAAGTTGTTCCTCTTTGCAATTCTGGGAAACCAGGGCCGCCTGAGCCTGGCGTCTGCCCGTCAGGTTATTAGCGCTGTTACTCAGGCGTCCTCCAGCAGAGGGCGCCTGAGGACGCGGGAGGGAATCCGGGCCGCTCACCGCGGGGCAGGCGGTTTGCCGGATGGGGATAGTCTTACTGGGTCCCATGCGGTCAGAAGAATTTTCCAGGATTTTGTTTTGACTGATAAAACAGAAAGTTTACTTAGAAGTTTCCCTGCCGTTCCGGATCTGTGTCATCTCCTGGGTCCTCCCACATTTCGTTTTGACCTCTTTGAAGGGTCTTGGGGAGAACAGTGCGGAGGGTGGACTGGGCCCTTCCTTGTTCCCATTTCTCAGTGTAGGCGTTATGAGCCGCGTGCGCATCTGTTGTCTGAGGAGGCTGAACAAAATGCCCAGGGAGAGCTGACCATCCTCGAACAGGGTGGCAAAGGACCGAGGCCATGGCCCACCAGCAACCCTGCACTGGGCGTTCCGGTCCATTTGCAGGATCTTGGGTTTCAGGTGGGGCCTTGTGCCCACCCCCTTTTAGGGGAATGTTACAGAATGACAGTGACCATCCCAGGCAGAGTCTACACGAATCAGCCACTGGGTCTGGCCTCATTTTTTTCCAACGGCCGCTCCCCCGATGGTCTTTCTGACCTTGTTTGGGGGTTTCGGAGTCTCAGCGCACTTCCGGGCCCAGTGAGTTCCCTCTTTCCTCCCCAGCAGTTCCACTTGTTTAATGCTGATTTGGGTTTGTGAGTAGGACCAATCTGAATACCCAAAACACTAAGATGCTGCTCACTAGTAACCTTCCACAACGTGGAGGTGAATTACCGTGATTATCAAGAAGGCGGCCGATTTTCCTGTGTCGTGGGGTGACCTTTCCTCTCTATGGCAAAGTGTGTTTTGTAGCTGGCACGCTCTCCTGCCCAGCTGGAAACTTTTTAGCCCTCTAGTTGGGGCAGGTGCAAGACTGTGTCATAAGCACTACACATCTTGTTGATGTAATGGCTGCAGGGCAGGAGAGCTGCCAGACCCCTTGTTAAGACGTGGGTTGACTTGACAGAGGTGGAGAAAGTTAACCAAGAAATCTGACTGGGGCCATCTCAAATGGGACCAATAGGCAACACAGAGCTTTTTTACTTTGCTGGTATAAAATATTATTTCTCCCCCAAAATTCTTGATCATTCGGTTCAACCCAACAAGTATTTACTGGGCATCCACTGACATGAAAATCAGAGCTGTTGAGTAGGTACAAACAATATATGGCATGATACTTGCCTTTAAAAATTAATAGCATTTGGTGTAGGGGGGTGGTAATAGCTCAGAAGGTAGAGCGCATGCTTAGCATGCACAAGGTCCTGGGTTCTAGTCCCAGTACCTCCATTAAAAAAAAAAAGCATTTAGGAGAAAGGGATAAATTAGAAATTTGAGATTAACAGATACACTGTCTCTATATAAAACAGATAAACAGCAAGGACCTACTGGATAGCACAGGGAACTATATTTTATATCTTATGATAACCTATAATGGGAAAGAATCTGAAAATATATGTATGTGTATGTATAACTGAGTCACTTTGCTGTGTACCTGAAACGTTGTAAATCAACTATACTTCAATTTTAAGCAATCAGTCGCTTTTCCCTGTATGACCATAGAGTTGCAAAGCACCAAAGGATGGGGTCACTTCTTAGTGACAGAGTTGATGGTTCCAGTTCAGTCTTTTCCTGGTTGAGTCAAGGCCCAGTCCAGAGTGGACACTCAGACGTTTGCCAGTGTGCTGGGTCACTTGAGTTTAGAAGCTCGGCGAGGGGTTGATCTGTCCCATCCAGGGCTGATTCCTATCGTGGTGGGCGGGTCGCTTGCTTTCTTGGGGTAACTTGCTTTGAGGTTGTTCTGTCTGCTGTGGGTGAGGCATCTGGCCTGAGCTGCGTGTTCAAAAAGAATTTTTAGATCTGTAAAAATATCATTTCTAGTAAACAGTGCAATTCTCTTGTGTTTTGAGCTGTGTATGTGTGTGTTAAAAGCATTCCGTTTTTAAATTTTAAATGTTTAAAATGCACTTTTCTAATCCGGTTTTGACATTTCTTCATTCTGTAAACTCCCAGGTCCCCTGAGACATGGCAAATGGCCTGGATGCCTCGCATCCTCTGAAGGGCCCCACCTCACACCAAGCACTGCCCCTGCCTGGTCTGAAGGTCACCTTGCCCTGCAGCCCCAGTGTTGTAAATAGCCCGTTCAGGGCCTCAGGGATGCCAGGCGTCCTTCTGTGTCATAAATGTGCTTATTTCACAGCAGGGAGTGGGCCAGGCAGAAGTGGGGTTTTTTTCCTTTTTAAGGTACAAATTGGGTTTTTCTTCAAGACAGGAGGTGTGAGATAGGGCTGGCTCATGGTAAAACCATGCAATGGGCCGCACTGGGCTTTGAAGCGGCCCCACTGGCCTCCCAGGCTGCCCCGTAGGCTCAAAGGGACTCCAAGTCACCAAGGAGCCGCTACCTCGCGCCTCTGCTCAGCCTGGTGACCTGAGCGCCACATTCCTGCTGCATCTGACATGGCTCTCTCTCTCTTCTACCCTAGAAGTTTGCAGGTTCTGTTGGGGTAACCAGTGCACACGGGCCTCTGGAAGGCACAGACTCTCTTGGACATTTCCCGGGACTGTAACACCTTCGCTCAAAGTGGAGGCTCCTCCTGG